AGCCCCGCTTTTGGTTTTTAAGTCAGGGTCTTGATGCTTGTTCAGACTAGCTTTGAACTCACAGCAGTCCCCTTGCCTCATCCTCCAGAGTCTTGGGATCACAAGTGTGTGCCACCATACCTGGTTTGTGATTTTTATTTATTTATTTATTTATTTATTTATTTTTGTGGTACCGAGGATTGAACTCAGGACCCTGCACTTGCCAGGCAGGCACTTATTTTACTGATCTATCTCCCCGGCCTCTTGTTTGTGTTTTATTTATTACGATTTCATATATTTGTAGTGCCAGGTACAGTAGCTCATGGCTGTAGTACCAGTTTACTTGGGAGGCTGAGGCTGGAGAGCTCTCAAAGCCAACCTCAGCGATGTAACCAGACTTTGTTCCCGATTTTTTTTTTTAATTTTAAAAAGCAATAAGGGGCCGGGGTAATAGCTTGGTGGAATAAGTGCTTCCCTGACAAGCGCAAGGGCCTGAGTTCAATCCCCAGTTCCGCCAAAAAAATAAAATAAATAAATAAAAAGTAACAAAAATAAAGAATCTGTGGCACTGTCTGGGTGCCCGGGAGGCCCACCAACTGCACGGCTGAGCAGCTGAGCTGTCCTTTATTCCTGTCTCCTAGAGACCGAGTGGAGGAAGCGGAAGGCATCACGCAGGGGCGCTGAAGAAGAGGAGGAGGAGGAGGATGAGGACTCTGGAGAGGAGATGAAGGCACTCAGGGAGCGGCAGAAAGAAGAGCTCAGTAAGGTACTGGCTGCGTGCATCGGCCCTGTCTCTGTCACACAGGCTCTGGGCCACCAAAGCATCCTCCTCGGACGGGGGACAGTGTCCCCTGCAGCATGCCTGACTCTCCACCTTTGGGAGATGAAGAATGGGGGTCTGAGACTCAGCTGAGTCCTCCTGTCTCCCTCCTCAGGTTACTTCCAACTTGGGAAAGATGATTTTGAAAGAGGAGATGGAGAAGTCATTGCCGATCCGGAGGAAAACCCGCTCCCTGCCCGACCGGACACCCTTCCATGCTTGTGAGTGTGACACGTAGAGCCGCGATCACCTGGCCAAGCTCGGGTGGCTCTCTTCATGGGTTGAGCCCTTAAACAGGGAGCCCCGTAGGGCGCGAGTCTGCCTGGGCCCACAGTGATGAGAGAGAACATCTGCTCCAGTGGGGTCACTGGGCTAGTTCAGTTTAGCTAACTCCTGGTCTGAGGGTCTGCCACACTTGGCTCCTGGGATGTCACAGGTACACACAGGAGTCTTGTTCCCAGAAGTTTGTGCTTGGTGGAGAAAAGTGACTTGGAACCTGGGCCTTTAGTTTTATTTTCACTTTTGTGTTTGGTACTAGAGATTGAGCAGTGACAGCCGCAAGGCTAAGCTGAGTCTGGAAGGATGTGACAAATGAGGAAGGCAGAGTGGTGGGGATGGCCACTTGTAGGTGTCAGGGACAGCATGGAGCACAGGCAGGGAGGGGGAGACCCTCCTAGCTAGGAGTGCAGCATCCGTCCATGCAGGGAGGTGGGCTGTACCCCTGCTTACCCTAGGCTCTTACCTGTCCTTCCCCTTGCCACGGAGGCCACAGCGAGGAGGAAGAGGAGGTCTGAGGACCCCAAGGTTGGGTCCAGGAGGTTCTCAAAGCCTGGGAAACTGGGCTGTTTCTTTCTTTTTTTTTTTTTTTAATTTTTTTTAACATTTATTTAGTGTGTGTGTGTGTGTGTGTGTGTGTGTGTGTGTGTGTGTGTGACCAGCTCAGCCCACCAGGGGGCGCGGCTGGCTGGCATGTGGTGCTGGGGGATCGAACCGTGGTCCCTGTGTTTTCCCAAGCTTGTTCCAAGTAGGTGCTTTAGACCACTGAGCCATCTCGCCAGCCCAACTGGGCTGTTTCTTCCTCTGTGTCCCTCAGTCAGAGCAAGTCACCAAGCAGCAGGGACACAGGCTCCACTTCTTGGCTGAGGGACTTCAAGGACTCATTGCAGAAACAAGTGGATGGAGAGGGGCAGGGCATCTGGAAGCAGCAGTTGCATTTGTCAGTTGTCTGGTTCGGCCTCTGTCACTGTAACGAAGGGCTTGGGGTGCGTTTGCCCAAAGAAAGAAGAGGTTTCTGTAGCTTCCAGGTCTGGAAGTTCAAGAGCCTGCATTCAGTGATGGCCTCTTTGCTGGCAGAGTCCTGAGGAAGCATAACCGCCCTCAATGACAAGAGACAAAGAGTGCCTGTGGGGCCCTCCCCCTTCTTGTGGTATAAGGATTGAATCCAGGGCTTCTCTACCCTGAGCTACATCCCTAGTTCTTTTTATTTTGAGACAGGGTCTCACTAAGTTGCCCAGGCTGACTTTAAACTTAGATCTTCCTGCCTCAGCCCCCCACATAGCTGGGATTTAAGGCATGCACCGCCAGGCCCTGCTGGTTTTCACTTTCTTAAACTTCACAGTAGGGGTTAAATTTTGACACATGAAGTCATAGGGTTCACACTCAGCTGATATCCAGAACATAATCTGCATAAGAGCTAAAAAAATCTTCCTAAGTCTGAGGACTGACTGGATCTGTCAGATAGCTCAGACTGAATCCCTGGATTGAATCCAGTGGCCGATTAGATGGGGAGGAGGGTGAGGGCAAGGTAAGTTGGAGCTTTGTCCCAGGTGCTGGGTGGTGACCATTAGGAACCACCATCTCAAAAGTGGAAGAGGCCAGTTTCAGACCACGCAGTGGAGACTGAGTCTGGCTGACTTGGAACCTGGGGCTTCAGCCTCAACGCAAGCGTGAATGGGGACAGCAAATGAGACAGCTAGCAGCGCGCATGGGCTGTGGGTGGACAGCTCCTGTGGTGACCTCCAATGCAGGCTGGGGTGAGAGGTGGGGCACAAGGGCTGGCTGCGCAGGGCTACCTCGCACAAGGGCCAGGGACACCACCAGGAGCGGCCAGGTTAGAAGTTGTCTGCTGAGCGCAAGGGTAGCAAGGCTCAGGAAGTTGGTGGGGGTCGGGCTGGCAATGGCTGGCACCAGCTGGGATGGGGCACAGGCTTCGGCTCCACCACAGTACTGCCCCACAGGTGTGAGTTCTATCTCCACTGCCAGGGGCCAGGTGGGGAAATGTTGACTGGTCCTTGGTCTGAGCTTGGTAAGGACAGTGCTGGGTTGGGCCCCCTCTGCACTACAGAGTTGCTTGTGAAAGGTGCTGATGCACTTGGAGCTGAGAAGGTCGGGACAGAGGCTGATGGGTGCGTGCGTGAAACTGCAGGTCTCTGTGTGAAGACCAGCTCCACTGCAGGGGAGGAATGGTGGCCACCAAGGGCATGGCTGGCTGGCTGATGGGCTCCAGGCTGTGGCCTTTTGAAAGGGTTGTATGATGTGGAGCTGAGGGAAGAGCCACTGAGATTAGGGTCCTGGGGACTGGAGCACCCAGAAGACGGCCAAGTGGCTGGGGTACGCCAGGGACCCCCAGGACTCAGGCATAGGGTGGGTGAAGAGCTATCCCAGTGGTGTTTTGTTTATTTATTCACTTATTTTTCTTGAGACACTGTCTTACTGTGTAGTCCAGGCTGGCCTTGATTACTGTCTACCCCAGGCTGGCTTCAAACTCGTGGAATTCCTCCTGCCTCAGCCTTCCAAGTGTTGAGATTCCAGGCGAGCACCATCAGGCCCAGCCCAAAGGCATATTTTATGTTTTGGTACCAAGAATCAAACTCAGGACCTTGCACTTGCCAGGCAGATACTGTGTAACTGAGCTATATCTCCAGCCCCCAAAGGCATTTTAGAGAGTATAACTCAATAGTTAATTCCAGGAGGAAGGGACTGTTTTGAGGGTTGTTGGATTGAGTCCCTGGGTTCCATGGATGCTTCCATTCAGCCAAAGATGAGCTCTTTGAACACACGTTGGCTTTGTAGCGTTGAACTGCCCAGTGCCAACCCCACCACTGCATTTGGCAGCCCTGGACAGATGGGATCCCTGCTCAGTAACTGTGTAGGTGCCTGTCACCTCTAATAGCCTTAGCAGTTCAGAGTAATGAACAGGGATGCCACTCTGATCTTTGGGTGGGAATTGTCGCTTTGAAACACAGGCCTTGTGGCTGGGGATTTGGCTCAGCAACAGAACCCTGGCCCAGCAAGCTGGAGGCCCTGGGTTCAGTCCTCAACACAAAAAACAAAAAATAAACCTCCTTGAAACACACCCATTCTGAAAGTCCAGGTGTTCTTCAGTTGATGACCAAGCTCTATTCCTGGTACCAGATCATTAAATAAATTGGTCACTAAATGAGGAATTGTGTTAATATATGCCTTACAATATTCAAAACAAAGAAATGGTCAAAAGAAACTCCAGCTTGATGACTTTGTATTTATTTGAATACTTCTTACATGCAGTACTGTAGCATATACCAGTGTAAAGCTGTGGTGCTGTACTGTGCAGTGCAGTCAGCAAAACTGACAGCACTTGTAGGTGAGGGCCACCTGGCTGCAACATCTGTCACTCCGCTGATCTCCAGGGTTGATTCACTCGGCTGATCTGGCTGGCTGGGCGGGGTCCGTCTGCTTTCTCTCTCATCACTCCGTGCGTCACTTATGATCCTGTGCTACAGGCCTCTCCAGTGTTGGGATTGCAGGCGTGTGCCACCATGCCCGGGGTTCAAGGGCTGACACATCATGCAGTACCAGGGATTGAACTCGGGTCCTTGTGCTTGCTAGGCAGGTGCTTAGACTGCCTGTTTCCCCAGCCCAACATGTAGGATTTAGCACTTTAGTTATTTATTTATTTATTTTTTGCAGAACCGGGGATTGAACTCAGGCCCTTGCACTTGCCAGGAAAGCGCTTATTCTGCTGAGCCATCTCCCCGGCCCTGGATTTAGCACTTTAAACGAAGGATATCTGCTTTGTAGGGAGACAGTGTGCCAGTCAGTGAGGGAGAAATGTACACCTATGCGCGAGTGTGAAATGTTCCCACAGTGCACGGGGATTGTGCATAGTGATGATTTTCCTACACAGGTGAAATCTCTCTCCTGAAATTCTTGGGACTGGAAATGTCTCAAATTCAGAAGTTGTTTTTATTTTGTTTTCTCAGATTTTTGAATATTTGCATAGACTTTACCAGCTGAGCATCCCTAGTCCTGAATGCTATGAAATCCAAAACACTGGGAGCATTTGGGTAGCAAAATTCAAGTTTTAGATTTAGAGCATTTCAAATTGTGGATTTTCAAATTTGAGATGCTTCATTTACATAAAAAGAAGTGGTAGGTTCCCAAAGTCATCAACTGAACTTCCAAGCAACAGATTGTAGATTGTTTTAAGAAAATAGTTCCTTTTAGTTTTGAATATTCTGAAGCTAAGCAAATTTAAACTAAATCCTACTCAAAAGAACTGTCCAAGTGTGTGGTATGTGCCATAACCTCACCTATTTGGGAGGCTGAGGCAGGAGTTTGGACCAGTGAGGAAATTTAGTACCACATTGCCTCAAAATAAAAAAATAAAAAGATCTGGGGATATAACTTAAGTGGTAGAGCACCACTGGGTTCAGTTGCTGGTACTGTAAACACAAAGCCTGCTACTGAATTGCAGGCCTTTGTAGTAATTTAGAGACAGAGGATTTTGGAGATGTGTACAATCTAAGAATTGTAGAGACAAAGTTCTTTCTAGAGAAACACATTCCTTTAAATTTTCTAGAATTGCAATTTGCAGGGCTTGAAAGTCTAGGTGTCTTAGGAAACATGTAAGTGGTAGAAAACACCCGGGCATACAAATAGGATGTTGAGTGCTTGGTAGCTGACCAGGCTAACCATGGTTTAGCCTGTAGTCTGATGTCAAATGTTCAAAATTTGATTGCCACTGTTTTTTAAATTGTAATAATTCAGTTGTTTTTATTGGACTTTAGATTTACATGTACAACCCAGAGCCTGGCCGCTGATATACATCTCGGCTTTGGCTATGGATTTTATTTTATATTTTAGGGAAGGGTCTATAGGGTGTTCAGAGTCTCACTACTAGATCAGACTCATAGTGATCCACCTGTTTACACCCTCCCAAGAGCGCTGGGATTGCAGGCGTGCGCCACCACGCCCAGTCTCAATTGCCGTCTCAGCGCGCCCCGGGAGCAGGGCTGGCACTGCAGGACCGGAGGTCCGCCCCGAGCCTGCTTGCAAGCACTTTAATCCACTGAGCTATTTGGCGGGCCCTGGATTTTAGTACTGATTAGAGACAAGAAGAAAGGGTGTTGTGGACAGTGCAGAGGCCCCAGTGTGAGCCAGTGTGGCAGAGACCTAAGAAGCTCAAGAAGCTGAGGCAGGGCTATCGGCTGGACTGCACAGTGGGTTCCAGGCCAGCCTAAACAACATAGCCAGATGTTGCCTTGGAAAAAAAGAAAAAGAAAGGAGAGAGAGAGAGAGAGAGAGAGAGAGAGAGAGAGAGAGCCAGAGCCAGGAGACAGCACTGCAGTGCAAGTGCCTGCCTGTCAAGTGGAAGGTCCTGAGTTTGATTTCCAGTACCAAAAAAAAAAAAAAAGAAAAGAAAAAAGAATCAAAGAAGAGAAGCTGTCTCAGTGACTCCTCTCTCGTTGCTGGGACAAATACCTGACACTCCAAATGAAGGAAGGAAAGGTTTATTTGGCTCACAGTTACTGGAGGTTTCAGTCCATACTCAGCTGGCTCCAAGGCAGAGTGGCACAGGGCAGAGAGCGTCTGTTCATGGCGGCAGCAAGGAACAAGAGGAAAATGGAGAAGTAACAGCAACAATGGCAACAGAGGGAGTCTGTCTTTCTTCGTCTCTTATATTACATTCAGGCTCTCTGCCTCAGGCTGGGGAAATTACACACACCCATAATTCCAGCAGTACTAAAACCCATAATCTCAGCCTTGGATCACCCATAATCCCAGTGGATCATGAGTTAACCACAAACTCTAGAAGTCCCTGCTCCATGACTGCATGAGGCTTTGGGGGGACAACTAGACATAAACCATAACAGAAGTCCCAGCACGGTGTCACTTGCTGAAGCAGTGGGTAGGAGCTGGAACTTGGCAGAAGCCTGCTGTAGCCTCCCAACGCCGCCTTGGCTCCCTGGCCTGGCAGGGCAAGGCCAGCAGGGCAGCCCTCAGGAATGGCTGTCAGGGCCCAAGGACCTGAGCCGGGTCCCCTCGATCTCTTGCAGCCCTGCACCCAGGAACATCTAAGTCTTCTTCTCTTCCCTCATATGGCAGGACTGCTCTGAGCCGGGTAAGGACTCAGCAGTGGGGCTTGCGGGCGTGCGGGAGGGATGTACGTGGGGTGCTGCGTTGTGAGCGCCCCTGGGCATGGCATGGCCCTCAGGGCAAAGGGCACAGGTGAGGACTGTCCTCTGCTCCCACTGACCCCTGTGTGCCTTCCTAGCTACAGTCCACAGACTTCAGCCCATCGGAGAGGGAGACCGGAAGCCCAGGTAAGAATCTGAGCCTGTGTTAGAGCGCCAGGAAAGGGGCATCGGCAGACTTCCGGCACAGCCGGTGTCGGACGCGGGCAGGGGTCTGTGCGAAGTCCATGGCCGCGCTGGTGGGGTTTGAAGCACTCTGACCTTGGCTCTGCCTCTGAACCATGGCTCTTGTCTCCCGCAGGCCTCCAGGTGAGTGTCCCGGGAGGGGCGCGGACCGAGTGCAGGCAGCTGGCAGTGTCAGGGGCAGGGGGGTGTGGGGCCATGGCATTGCCTGGTGAAGACCCAAGGAGCCCAGGGTAAGGCTGGGAACGTCCCCTCACCCCACTCTGGCTCACTGCGGCTTTGGTCTCCCCAGAACGGAGAGGGCCAGAGGGGGAGGATGGACCGGGGGAACTCCCTGCCCTGTGTGCTGGAGCAGAAGGTGAGGGCACGAACCTGACCACCCAGCGGGGCGGGGCAGGGTGCGGGCCAGGCAGGCTGAATGTGCTTGGGTCCCTGGAGATGAGGCTGGGGGCAGGAGGCGATCTGGGGAGATGTGGGGTGACGCAGCATGAGCCCTGGTGGGCTTTGCACTTGACAAGGGTGGGGGGAGGGGAGGGGTTTGTGTGGGCAGAAGAGACCCAGAGCCTGAGCTGGTCCCCCTGTCCCCAGATCTATCCCTACGAAATGCTGGTGGTGACCAACAAGGGCAGAACCAAGCTGCCTCCGGGAGTGGACCGAATGAGGCTTGAGGTGTGTAGGGAGGGTGGGTGCACCAAGCGGCTGTAGGGGTCACCAACGGGCTGTAGGGGTCACCACTGGCCCCTGACAGCGCTGGATGGGTGCAGGGACTGCATCCAGCAAGCCCTGTCTCCCTGCTGTGGATTGGTGTGGGGCTGACCAACGGCCTTTCCCCTGCCAGGCCGTGTGGGGGTGGGGGGCCCCGTGCCCCGTCGTCCCCCAGCACCCCCACGCTGTGCCATCCCTTCAGCTGCCTGCGTGTCCCCCCCCCCCAGAGGCACCTGTCTGCGGAGGACTTCTCGAGGGTCTTTGCCATGTCTCCTGAAGAGTTCAGCAAGCTGGCCCTGTGGAAGCGGAATGAGCTCAAGAAGAAGGCGTCCCTCTTCTGACTGCTCTGCCCCTCTCTGTGATGCCCTGCTCCCCACTGCTTCAGGGCTCTGGAGCTGGGGCCCCGGACCCCACAGCTTCCTCTCCCCCTAGCGGGCTGGGTGCAGCAGCAGAGGTTGGTGGAGCTGGTGGTCTGGGCTCCGCTCCTCAGGGAGGGGGAGCCCTGCCCTCTGCCATGCCAGGCTGGCAGTTGTGGACTTTCTGACCCCTGGTGAGCCAGGGCGCCTTCTCTTTTCCTGGTCCCCACTGCCCAGCCCAACCCAGCCTGGCCTCCAGCACAGAGTAAGTGAACGCACCCTCTCCCTGCCTGTCACCCCCATACGAAGGTCCCTAGAAGAGAGTGAGGACAAACAAAAGAGGGGATTGAGCAGTCTGTCAGCTGTGCTGCCCACCGGGTAGCACACAGCCAGGCTGAGACAGCCCCAGGGACCTGTGCACACCCACCTGAGCCTGCACCCTGCACCCAGGCCAGAGCAGTCGGGCCTCCAGCAGGGCGCCCCACCCCGCCAGCTTGCCTGGTCCTCAGTGTACCACCCTCCAGCTTTGAAGCTCTTGCTATAGCCCATGGCTTCCTCAGAGGCCTTGGCTTAGTGTGGTGATGCCCTACGAGCGCACCACGAGCCCTGAGCAGAGCAGCTAGGACACCTCCCTGTCACTTGCCAGGACTCCCTTGAGTGGATCGGGGCAGGGCTTGGGACATCTGCCTCTGCTCCCACACACCCGCAGTTGGCTCTCACAGAATGTAATTTATTGGGGCCTCCCTCCGCTGCTTTCCTCACCCCCTTCCCTGCCTATCACACCCCAGCTTTCTTTCTCCCCACATATGTATGTGTATACAATTATATATATATATATTTTTGCCCAGGTCTGGGTTTGTTCCTGCTCAGACCCCGGCACTCCTTTTCCACCATGTGTGTGATCCAGCTGGGAGAGGGCACTCTGCTTGGAATTAAAAGGTTGCATTGGGTCCCTCAATCTATCTGTCCTTTATGAACACCAGCCCTGGGAGAGAGGGGCAGATGACATCGGGCCCAGGGGAGCCGTGGGAATGGGGAATCAAGTAAGAGCTGAGTGGGGTGGCACAGCGTGGTGGCGCACACCTGTAAGACCAGCACTTGGGAGGCTGAGGCAGGATAGCCCCGAGTTTGAAGCTATCCTGCACCCTGCACCCAGTGTGAGATCCTATCATAGACAAGCAACAAAAAGTAGCAAAAGCATGGGCCAAGGGAATAGGTGATCATTTGGTCTTGGTAACATGTCCCAGGGAATAGATGTGGAACTGGCCTGAGTGGGGATGAGAGGTACAGATTTCCTGGGAGGACCAGAAAGAAGACTGTAGGAGACCAGCCTGAGCTGGTGGAAACTGTAGGAGACCAGCCTGAGCTGGTGTGGGTGCCTGGAAAATGCGCAGTTGGGGCCTCGGAGAGGGAGAGATGCCCACATCCGGGGCCTCAGATGAGCTGGGGCTGACTGAAGCTCCCAGGTGAGCCTGTAGCCACTGTGGCTGAAACAAGAGGAAACTGGGTAAGAATCACCCTTCTTTTTTTTTTTTTTTTTTTTTGAGACAGAGTCTTGCTATATAGCGGGGGCTAGCCTCAGATTCATGGCAGCCCTCCTCCCAGGTGCTGAGATTATAAATGTGTGCCACCATGCAGGGCTTCAAATTCAAATATTTATTTCCAGTTCTGGGAATTGAGTCTGGGGCTTCTCTAGTTTTGCCATCCCTGGCACTTTTCACATTATTTTGACACAGGGTCTCTCTAAATTGCCCAGGTTGGTTTAGAACTTGAGATCTTCCTGCCTCAGCATTCTGAATAATAGGATTACAAACACTTCATCAGGACTGAACTACCCACCTGCCCCGAACTGTTTTTTTTTTTTTTTTTTTTTTTTTTTTTAAACTGGGTATTGAACTCAGGTCCCTGCGCTTGCCAGGCAAGCGCTTATTCCACTGAGCCATCTCACCAGCCCCCTAAATAAACAAAGGCAGACCTGAGACTCCAACCTAATGCGTAAACCTCTATGCTATCTCTCCATCTCCGAACTGGGATTAGAACTGAGGGCCTTTGCACTGATCTACATCCCCAGGACCCCTGCCCTCTTTTTGGTTTTGCAATCAGGTCTTGCTAAGTCACCAGTTGCCCAGGTTGAGCTTAAGCTTGTGATCCTCCTGCCTCAGCCTCCTGGAGTGCTGGGAATACAGGCGTCCACCATCATGCCCAACTATGACCAATTACTTCAGATTGTAATGTTATGTGTCTACAACATTGCATTATTCTTTCAACAAACTTGTCAGGCCAACAGGACAGATCACTTCAACCCCTTCGGCAAATGAGGAAATCTTGGAGGAGACACATTCTGTCGGAAGTGTGAAGCTACATGTGACCAACGAATGAAGAATCTTGAGCACAAGCTCCCCAGATTCCTTTTCCTTTTCTTGTGCTAAGAATGGAACCCAGTACCTCCTGCATTCTAAGAAAGTATTCTCTCTCCCAGTGAGCTATATACTCCAGCCCTTGGTATCCTGACTTTTTTTGTTTATGTGGTACTGGGGATTGAACCCAGGGCCTTTGTACTGATTTACATCCCCAGCCCTTTCTTTTTTTTTTTTTTTTTTTTTTTTTTTTTTTGAGACAGAGTCTT